TAATGGAGCGCCGATGGCGCGACCATAGCGAGTTTGTTTATCTGAAGGGCAAACGAACTCGCTAGTATGAGGATATTGTGCATTACTCTTGCCTGGCCTATAGTTGGGAGAAGTTCACATAGTTTTCCCGATCCCGTACGTGCAACATGGAGTCTCAATGGTGAAATTGAAGCGGATCATGAAAATACTTTAAATATTACGCTCGAAAAAAAGAGAAACCCATGTCTGGACTCCAGAAGTCTTCGTGACCCTACGAAAAAAAGCTTATTCGATGTGAAACCTGAGTTTTTTACCTATCATTATATTGGGTCGATCGGAAAGTTCTGGCCGTTTCGAGAATTTTCCAGAAAAAAAAGGAACTATTTGAACTTGAACCTAGGCTAAGGTGTAGATTCAATGGAAATTGCCTGACATTCAAATTTTAGTATTAAAATATTACTTCAATAAAAAACACAAGACGATATTAATGGACAACAAATTTGCCTTTGAACATAGCACGAACCCCCAAAAATTAATTTCTCAAAAAAATACCATGAAAAGGACAATGAGTCTGTCACTAATTTACAAAATTACGGAGTTCATGTTTTTTTATATTTCGTCAATTCATTTTTGAATCAGAAGATCCCTATCACAATTGAGGCATTCCATCTCAAGTAATCAAAATTGTGTTTCCGTGTGCGACTGGGATTTCGTTGAAAAATTTTCAAACAATGATCTCTGAGTTGTGAAGGCATACTAAATGTTTAGATCTCAGGACCAAGCGGTTTAGAATCGTTGACTGTGATTGTGAGGTTGATGAGGCGGGAGATGGAGAGCTGCTCCAAGAATCAATTGATGAAGACGGAGAAGTTGCAGAATGAAGGCCACCGAAGGTTTTTTCCAAACAGAAAACACGCGACGAAATATGTACCACTGAATTGCAACGTCAGGAGACGGACCAACTTGCGTACGCCAGGCAAATGAAGCTTTGTGGAAGAGAGCTCTTAACCGAAACTATGACTTCAAGAATGCGTTTTTTCCTGAACTGAACGCGCAAACGTGGAAATACTCTCCGTAAGAACCATCGGACTGTCGCCTTTCTAAACGACAGTACCAACGGCTTAGTGACGGTGCTAAGGCTAAGACAGCAGACATCTATCCTCCTTACAATCTTGTCAACTAAGAATCGCTGTGTGCCCATAGGGATGCAGGTTCACGAACTAGAAGTATCCGTCAGCCTACAGAATTCTCTCGACCATACAACATGAAGGCTGGTTGAGTACCAGAAGTCCGTAGTGGAGGAGTGCGGAGCAAAGAATTTGCGACTGAACCTGAAGAGGGGAATTAATGGATCTACCTGCCATACCGTGCTGAAAATGAAGCCGAGCTAGCAAGAGGAGGTCGAGCCGATGGAAGCTGACGACATCGACGCTGCCGTGGACAATGATCAGCCGGATGAAAAAGTTTTTGGGAATCATGACGAGGAGAATCCTGTTCGGAAGTTCGACCACATACTATGCACCTCGTACGTTCCACTGCTTCTGGTTACGGACGAGACTCAAAGGAAAGTTTTGTGACGAAACCCTTGGGCAGGGTCATCTCTTCTTTGCCTTCCCCTTTGCATCTCCTTCATGAAGGAAAAAGTGGACAACGTTACCTTGGCTAAGAATTGTGTTGTGTCCTAAATTGACGAGCTGGTGGCTACTGTGAAAGTTCTCCTTCCCGGGCAAGCCATCAGCAGTGTCCACGAAATGCACTGCGCAATGCTTGATGTGATGGTTGCGTATGTCCTACCTGGAGTGAAATCTTCGCTGACATCTTACGTTTGTGGCACTACCCCACGAGAGATGAACAACTTCGAAAGGTTGGCACTGAAAGTCGAAGACCAAGATGCTTTGAAACTTGGAATATCCGGCTTGCACGCCTAAATCCGAGCAGCAGAACACGTTCTTCACTTGGGATACCGAATGCAAGTCGGAGTTTGGCACTTGCGAGGGCCAGGACTGAAGGCGCAAGCCTCAGCCAAGAAGAGGCAGATCCAGCGTGACTTGCATCAGCGACTTGGGGTTGTTTCCGACCGCTACCTTCCGGAAATGGGACTTCGAAAGATGGGAACATGGCGAACACTGCAACATTTCATCTCAGGTCACCGGAGTTTCCAAGGAATATCTCCGAGGAATGAATGCGATCCTGAAAAACGTCAACTCGGCGTTCGATATTAATTCCAGAATTTTGGCGTCTTCTGTCGAAGGACAGAGGAGATCTACGTCCAACACTACCCCTGGTATCCCTTGCCTGCTTCGCTCCATAAGTTGCTATACCATGGTGCATCCATTGTCTCAACTGCTCCGATGGCAATTGGTGTCATGTCAGAAGAAAGCCTCCAGAGTAGGACAAAGGACCTGAGATACATCTGAAGATTAAACACTCGAAAGATGAGCAGGGAGGTCTCCAACCGCGACCTTTTCGTGGAAATCTGTGTCCTATCAGATCCTAGGGTGGCTCTGTCGAGGACTCTGATTTCCTCAAGAAAGAGAGGAACTCTCCCTCGGGAAGTGGTCGAACTGTTGCGAGAACCTGATGTGCCTGATTCAGATGAAGTTGTACTGCAGAGCATAATCATTTCTTCCACAAGCGATAGCGTGGAGGAATCAGAATCTGATTTTTAACTCTTACCAGGCGAAGCAGTGTGAGATTGCTGTGCCTGATTTTTCTCCGTTTTCTCAAGTCAAAGTAGTCCTGACGTTGTGGACCCCGACTTATTATTTGGGTATAGCTATCCATCCGAAGGTCTAATATAAAAGGAGAAAGTTGAGGGGGAAAACTTTTTATAAATGAGCACCCATAGAATGAGGCTCCTGGAGAGGATGAGCATGGATCATATGATGTGATCTAGCGCTATGGTCGCGCCTTCGGCGCTCCACTACCTTGGATTTGCACAATTTCAAATATTCTTTGCGAAATGGCAAACACGTATTTAAAGTACGTCCCCATTGAAATACGTGACTTATGATTTATGATGATGCTTTTCTTATGAAATGTAGACTCAGGGAACTCCATGCCACCCAGTTTCAGCCTCATACGGTTCCCCTTTTTACTAGCGGTAAAAAATATATTTGGAAAAGCTACCCACCTGAAAACTGTTCTTTTAGGAGACGCACAGCAAAATTTGAATTTTTCTTTAAATCAACATCACGTCCGTTATGCGTGCGGCAGCTACTTTTCTATTTCTGCCCGAATCGCTAGGATATAAAAAATTCTTTGAAAACATAACGTCTCAAAGAAATATCCCCCAAAATGCCAATGTTTTGTAAATTTGACATTATTCCTTAGCTCAGTGCGTCAGCAGTCACGTTCTTGTCAGGTTTCAGCTTTCCACGTGTCACCGTTTGATTGAAGCAAAGAGAAATATTAGAAAATATGTTCCACGATAAGGTGTGCCCCTATGGCATGTATCACCAAAGAAAAAATATTTCCTTAACACCGCATGCGAATAGCGACTTATGTCAGTCAGCTTCTCACAATCGTCTATATACAGTAGAATAAAAGTAGAATTTTTCCTTTACTCAACTATCCATCAGGTTCTTCTTTGACAAGTGTCAAAGTGACAACTATCCAGCGCCCTTTGTTTTGCTGGATCGAGAAAATACGCCCTTTGCAATATATGTGCCCTCAAGCGGTTTAACGGAAAAGTACATGTTTCTTACGGAAATCAATCATCAGAGAACTGCATGTCCACAAAATTTCAACCTTATGCGTTTTTCCTTTTCGCTGGTGAGAAAACATGTTTGGAAAAGCCGACGCACCCAAAAGCTATGCCAAGAGGGGATGGACCATAAAAGCTGAACACTCCCTCAACTCAATAATAATAATATCATGTCATTTATACGTGCGCCAAGTTTCACCTTTCCATTTCTGTCCAATTCGCTATGACAAAATAATTTTTTTAAACATCGCCCCTCCAAAAAATTCGCTCAGGGGATGGATCGAGACTTAACATTTTCCATTAACTCCTTGTCTCTGTAGTCACATTCATGCAAAGTTTCTGCTTTCCATGTTCATCAATATAACTGATGCAAAAAATTATTTGAAACCATCACCCTTTGAAATTCATGACCATTATTCATGGCATTAACTTCCAAAGTCTGAATTTTTCTGCACACATCATCCCAAAAGGTAGTTATTTACCTCGTTTCATCTTTCCACATCAGCTCAATACGCCAGGGCAAAAGAAAAATTACGTGAAAATGTCGGCCCCCACGACATTTTTTTTCACCATTCTGGCCCACTGTGCAATGGTCAAACAGCTACCACAGGTCTTAATTGAGCTATCAATAGAACAGAGTTCGACAGTCGAACTTCTGTCTGGAGAAGAGTAGACCAACATCGTGAATCATTTTCCCAGGTTCAGCTTATTGTAAAATGTACAGATCTGGAGAAAATGGTTTAAATACTGGATGGTACCCGATCCTAAACTATGGAAAATTATTGGACCGTCATATTCCCAACGATTTTGCACTGATTGTCGAATACACTTAACGATATTGGTTTGTCCTCCTCAAATGATGTGGAATGATACCTCTATCTCTCAGTAACTTGAATCTGTAACACAAACGTAAAAAGTGCCTAAAAAATGACATGCCAAGTAGGTACGTGGCTCTGCGGTCGACGTCAGCGCCCCCTATCAGAATGCAACGCCATCTTGCGGCGTGAAAAAAAACCTCCTTTTATCATGAACTCCCCTGCTAAATATCAGCTGACTTCGATTGTCCCTTGAAAAGTTATAGCTGATCAAAATAGGGTATGATAACGGTGTATAGAGCTTTAACTACACAACCAATTGGAAATTCCAGTCGCAATCTGCATGTTACAGCTGAAACTTTTTTCTGAGTCCTCAAAATATTGACTCTTTGAAAGGTCTGTATTAGCGAATCGAGAAAATCTGCGCTTAATAAGGTACTGCGGGGGGTCCGAATTTTGAAACGCCACCTGGCCTATTACCCAGACCAAATGTGATAGCCATGAAGGTTTGGTCGGGCTAGGACCAGAGGTGCAGTCATGCATAAAGGACGGGCACACACACACACTAACACTCTGAAATATAATAGTGAACTATAAATATTCACCACACCCTAACCATCCAACCATGAAATAAATAATAGCTGTTAAAACAGATCTTCTGGCATGTTGAGAGAGGTGAAAAACCATGGGGAGAAGAGGGAAATCCAGCCCTGACGCTTGACAGATCCACAGTAGACAGGGAACGTTGGAGCAAGTAGGACATGCAGTTGCCTATCCGCTACCTAATGTAGGCGGACCTCCATCAGCTCTCTTCCCATAATGCAGCTGGCTCTCTCCCAGATGCAGTATCCAGAGTTCCCACTAGATGGTACCCATGTTCCCTGCACGCAACAAATGTAATTATCTGCCTCTCTGATTTAGCAAAAGTTTCTCTTCCTCCCTTTCCCCTTTTTACATTGCAATATGTAAACAGATATGAGAAAAGCGTGGAATTATGATGCTTTTATTGCCATGGGAATCATTAAATGCTTAAGTTGAGTATGGCGATTCGAAAGTGTACTGGACCAGGGGAGGGTAGAGAGCCTAGATTTTCTAATGCTATATTGGGTAATATGGTGTGACATGGTACTCGTAGAATTCTGCTCACCTCCTCAGGATATTGGATGCAAAAGAGGAGGGCAATGGATCATCTTTGGTACACTTGGGTACTCTTCTGAGTAGGCTACAGAGCCAAGTTTTTGAGAGGTGAATCGGATATGCATGGAGGCATCTGGGTCCTTCCCAACTGGTGGTGCACCACAACGAGCTAACTGGTAAGGTGCTGGCCCCTCTAGCGGTCCAGAAGGTGGCGAACCAGTGCTGGTAAGTGAGACATGTACCTGGTGGCCCACAACCTAGCGAAGATGGTGGGCCACCAGCTCTCTTCCGCAAACGTACGTGGTGGCCCATCACTTACGCGCTACTTGAGTAGTCCGCTCAGTTTTCCGTGCTCCTATGAGAATCCCATTTTCACTCTCATCCATAAGTGCCTTAAATTTAAATGTAAACCAGACCGCCCGACTGAGCCATCTCTTGGATCTCTTGGGAAAGCAGACCTCCATGAAGCCTTGCAATATCATATTGAGTACCCCCATTCCTCATCTACCATCAGCCCATGCAACCTTCCCTCCCAAGCGATGCCCAAAGCCCACTCAAGCAGCCTATCAAAGTTGACTTAATCATGGATATATGACACTTTCTTCGAGCTAACGTTACTCTTAGTTCGCATGATATCCTACATGATCGCTCAATAATACAAAACACCAACGTTATCCTGAACCGTAACATCGAGCGCCATATCGTCGTCCGTCGCAAAAACCAAATCCGATGAAGCTACTTTTGCGAGTTGGTTCCTTAACATGCTGCACAAGGACAGTCATGGGAGGATATTTATTTTTTTTTGTACTGATTCGTTTCTATTTGTTTGTTCATTGAGATTCGTCAGAGTGTTGAGATCATAATGATGAATCTTTTATTTGACATTATGGTCATGGCAACCCTGTTAAAAGGTATAGAAATACACTTATAGCGCCAGGCCCAAAGGGTCTTCTATTTAGGGTTTCCCTTTTTAGGGCCCTTCTACTCAAGGACCGCTTTTCAGGGCTTCTAGCCTGGCCTTTCAACCATCAGCCTTGGGACTAAGTCAAATGTGACGTGAGCCTGTATTTAGACCCAGGGTATGGACGCCCCTCAAAATTGCCTCTCTTTCGGATTTCCAAATTTGCTCCCCATCTCCCTGTTGACAATTCCCAAGCTCATACAAATTTCAACCTTGTTGTTCGCCTGATCTCACAATCTCTCAATCTTCAGCCTTGAACTCAGCCTTCAAATGTCGTCCTCCAACAGTCGTCGTTAAATGAACCTAAACCATTCTCATATTTTATAAGGGCCAGTCCTACGCCGGTACCCCTAAAATTCCCTCCTCGCTGTGTATGTATTGTCTCTATTTTAGGCCTAAGCCCTCCTCTTGTTCAAAAGTAGAAATATAAACTTCCCTATGTGCCGGTACATCATCCACTCACTGAAAGTCTCAACCACTTTCATGAACAAGTATAAAACCCACAAGTAACATGGAACCTTGCGTGGAAACAAGATACTGTTTGAACCCACATGGCACTACGAGAGCATCTTGAATTGCAAAGTGAAATTCCCTTTCCCTCTAACTTACCTCTCACGATACCGTCCAATCTCGGTTAGGGACGTTAAGGTCCCCGAAGAGCAATACCTTTTCAGCTTTGCAGTCATTCTGCCCCCGTTTTCTTCTCTATCTTACCCCTAACGTTCCCCCTCTCCTATTGTAACAGGATTGGAAGGAGAGGTGCCTCAATTCCATGGAGAAAAGCTGGAAAGAATCCTCAAGGTTCTCAAGGAGAAAGGTGTGGAGTGGAGGGATGACAGCGAGCCAGTGGCATTGAAGACAAGGACTGAGAGTGGTACAACAGGATTCTTGGAGACCATGTCTCTTTTACTCACAGGATCCCTCCTCCACCTTCAACTTCTGAAGGTTACTTTGAAGAAAAACTGGAATGCGCAGTTTTTGAAAATTGTATGCAGCATTGGGTGTGGAAGTCCTCCACGACCTGAAATGTAAAATTGCAAAGCCAGGAGTGCATGGCTAGGCCGGAAGAATGACTCTGAAATATTGACCTTTGACCTCTAATATCTGAAAGGGTAAAAAAAAATAACAATTTGACCGGTAAACCCAGTGGATTTAATAACTCCCACACCAAATGAATGAGGTTATTTTGACGAAAAATGACACTGGTTACCCTTGGCTTTCATTTAAGACCAACCTCTTTTTCCTGCCTCAATTAAGGCCAAATATAACCTGACCTTTAGGTGACTTTTCCCTGAGGGAGCGAAATTTGGGGCGCAGTATCTTCTGAACCGTTTGGGCTAGAGCTTTGAATTTGGAATGCCTTCATGTCTGAGAGAGTTCATGCATGCATTTTTGCAACGCAATCTCAGTCGCTCACAAAACCAATATTTCAGTTAGGGTAAAGCACCAGTTTTTGGACAGGTTAGGAAATTTTCCTTTTGAAAAGTTCACTACAGTCGTTGGGGTAACGGAGAAACCGTTTGATTGATTTCAATATGAGGCCACTCATTCTACAGTAGTTTCACGCCTATACCCTACAATAACATATTTAAAATATATTTTTCCAATAATAGCTTTTTAAATGTGTATGTGTTGATTTTCACGTGATTTGTATTTGTGGACGGCCTGGTTCCAGTTTGTGGACATCCACGGACTTTGTTTGTAGAGACCAGTTTTTCTAAACAAATATGAACGTGCCTAGGGCCTATATAAAATATGGGCATGAACTATGTTCAGTGGTTTAATTCATATTCAATGATGTCATGTTAAGAAATATCATTGAAAAAATTAACCAATTCCAGGGTGCTAGATCTAAAACTAAGCGTAAATGTCCGAGATCACTCATGCTGATTTGTATGCATAATTTATGTGGTGGCTGACAGGCATGTTCAAAATATGTAGCATTTGAGAAAAGAAAGGTTCTGCATCAATTTTGGAAATGGCAAAAAATACCATACTGTCCACAAATACGCGCCCGTCCGCAAACTGGTGCCTCTACCCTACAGGGGCCAGAATGCCTTATATGTGGTAGGATCTTTGATCCATAAATGTATTATCGAAATATAAAAAATTACTTCACTATAGATATAATTCTGCATATTAGTGCGGAGTCATTGATCTTTTCAGTGTTTTGTTTTCATATGCAACGTTTTGGGGATTCATGCTAAGTTCAATGGTCAATTTTTTTGTACATGAATAACATTGTGTTTTTGATTCGAATGATATTTTAATACAAATTTGACATTTTCAGACAAATTCTAGAGAATGAACACGTAGTCAAGTCAAGGCTCTAATGCAAATACTTCTTGAGTAACTGGAATATCAAAATCGGAGGTTAGACGGTGACCCTACATTTTGACCATCCTGCAGCATCTGACCTATTGACCGGATTGGGCGGAAGTTTAATATTTCCGAGTTTTTGGACATAATAGCTTTAAAATTAATTTAAAAATCTTAGGTCAGGTGTTAATTTGCGAATTTTTGGGCGTTTGATCAGGGATTAGCTCAACACACACTACAGGATTTGACAAATACCCACCAAATACATTTATTTTACCTATTGTATATGAGGAAAAGTAACCACCCATCCAAGTTAATAACAATCACGTGTTGAGAGCTTTGTAGACAATATGATCTACTGAAACCAGGAACAAATGAAATGAATTCCGTAGATCCCAACGCTAAAAAAGCACCTAATATATAATAATTTCATGTCTCTCATTGAAATCCTTCTGCTAGAACCCCTAGAAAGAAATTGGGAATTTCGATAAAGGTGTGATTCCATATGGCATCATTGACCTGGCAAGGGTTTATCAATGTTCCTTCCTCATTATCAAAACAACAGGAACAGTTTCCTGAATCTACTCAAAGTTCTTACCTGCTACAATAAAGCACGCTTGCAGTTCGTTTGATGAATTTAAAGACCATACTTGTCTCCCCAAAAAGGACATTTTAGGAGAGGACGATCCAAAGGACCCACTCCCCCTAATCCAATGTGCTGCAGATCATCTGAAGAGGAACATCATTCTCATTGGGGAAAGAACTTCTTGTGAGTATCACATTTCATTCACTGGCAAAGTTTCATACCTCGCTATTGAATGAGAAGGGAATTTGTATTTTAAAAATGGATACCAACCTGCAGAGCTAATGTTACTTGAAGTCGAAGCCTCAGAATATTTTTAAATGTTTCAAATTGTATATATCGTGTAAGATAAAGAATAAAGCATTTTTGACATAATTGATGAATACTTTTGGCAGTACTTTCCCCCTGAACTCTACTCACATATTGTCATCACCATCAAATCCGCACAGATGAATTGGGAGAAATGAATCTTGTAGCTGAGGTCACACAGAGGACAGACTGTAGAGCTATAGCACATTTTGAGACAAATTGAGAATCAGAAACCTCAATCATGTGTCAGGTATTTTGTGACGTATAAAACAAGTAATTTTTTTCTCCTACCGAATTGTGCAGAGATAGAAGGTGAAACTTGATACAAGAGTAATTATTAGGAACCTAAATTCATAAAATTTCAGAATTTGGAGGTAAGTGCCTTGGGGGATACATTTTTTTAAATATATATTTATTCACTTTATCCTGCAATAGAAGGAATAAACATGGAAAGCTGAAACTTGACATAGAACAGAAAATCTACCACAGAAGTATCTGTTTAATGGCTGAGTACAGGAAAAATCCTACTTTTGAACTATATCTCCTTAGCATAGATTACTGGAGGGAAGTATTTCACAATGTATTCTCCAGACTTACAAAATGGGACACGAGAAAAAGTTTAAAGCTAGGCACACATAGAATCACATAAGTATTGATTTTGATAAAAATAAAGACTTTCGAACCCATATATCACGTATTTCAATGGGGACGTACTTCAAATACGTGTTTCCCATTTCGCAAAAAATTAATGAATAGTGATTAGACTATACAAGGTAAAGGGGCGCCGAAGGAGCGACCATAGCGAGTTTGTTTGCCCGAAGGCCAAACAAACTCGCTAGTTATTAATATTTCCAGTAGAAATCCTCAATTTCATGCAACTTCTCGGGACCGAGACGAGGCTACGAGGTTCAACAGAAGTCAGACACGAAAAATAAGTCATATTTTCAAAGAACTGATGAATCATTGCGTGACAGTGCAAAGAGAGTTCGCCGAGCTCGCTCAGATTTTTCATTTAATGCGTTTTCAACGCATTAAATGCTCGGAGCTCGCGAGCTCGGAGGCAGAAAAATTACGTTTGATGGCCATAATCAACGAAGACAAATTTCGGACGAAATTCCAGATATTGGAAAATTTCAATCTAGTGGCTACTCGTGATATTCAGCGCTAAAAATCACGAGCCGCCACTGCCATTCACACTGAGCAGCCCAAACGATTACGAACTGGATGAAGAGCAGGAATACGTGGGGATGTATCGAAGATCGTGTTTTATGTTTCGTTTATATACGTTTATATTCGTTTATATACGTTTATATTCGTTTATATACGTTTATATTCGTTTATATACGTTTTATGTATCGAAGATCGTGTATCACTCGATTTCGCGATATTGCAAATTCTTTAGGCCAAAATCGGAAACGCAGCAGGAACGTATTTGAACGCCAGAGTCGTGCATTCATATTGTGTGCACAATGCGAAAAAGGAACAGTGAGAGGAAAACCGGTGTGTTATGGTCGTGGCTGGGTCATGACCTTCAGAGAATCTCATCAGAACCTGGGAGGTGGAGGTGGGTGAGGGTGCCATCGGGTGATGCCTGTCATTTTCTTGGCAAAGTAATTTTGGGGGTGAAATCCGGTGATCAAAGCTCCCATGCTTAATTTTCCATCGTTAATTATATAGTTGTTTCGCCAGCAGCTTGTCATTATGCCTCTAGGAGTATTTAGGAATTATGAGAGCGAAAAGTGAAATTGCGACTTGGAAGTATTTTTTCCCGATACGAGCAATATTGGCCAATATCAAGAAAATGCAACAATCGGCATAACTGCAATGTTTAAAGAAATTACTGCGGTTTCACGCATTTCAATTAGCGTTGATCCCATTATAAACTTTTGACAGGGAGACAGCGGAGGGCCCTTAGTGGTGCGCTACGGGGGCACGGCCTTCGTGAGCGGCTTGGACTCCTACCACCAGCCGGAGGGATGCGCAGTGAAGCCGAACGGATTCACGAAGGCCTCCGCCTTCTCCGCCTGGATCCAGTCCACGATCGCCAACTGGGGCTGAGTCCGCAGGCGCAGGTGCAACGCTCGCGAATGCGCTGCATGAGCCCGGTCGTACACTTTCGACGGTTTAATTTCTCTGCATTCGTAATTTAGAATAGTTAGAAGTGGAGAGGTGCGAATGCGAGACTTTTCATATTTAGCAAGAAATATATATAAGTATCGTGTGTTAATGCCAATCAAATATTTCTGAAAATTTGAAATGCTTGCATGAAGACAAGAAATTGTAAACTAACCGTCAAGAATTTTTACACTGGGACGAATGAACAGCCAACTTTCTGCTTGAACGATTCACAATGGGTACAATAGTCACAGTGTTTCGCCATTAGTGAGACAGCCTGAACGTCTCGTAGCATCATGGAGACAAGATCGAGCTGTCACCATTGACATGATGGCGAAAGGAGATCCTACTTTTCTCACACTTCGCTGAGCGTCTGAGACGCGGTGCCGAAGGATGCGATGCGCGCTTCATGGCACTGAAGCTCGCTATGAAGTTCCTGGAAGCTGAAAATTAGGGTTCATATGCAGATCTTCCGAACGGCCTTCAGCCCGGAATGGATACAGATGGTATTCTAAAGAAAAAACAAACGCATCAGTTCCTTTTGAATTCTGAAGGGTAAACGTTTATCCCTTACTTGGCTTCGGTACATTTTCAAGGAACGTATTTTACGAGATACGTTTGTACCGCATAACATATAATATATCCACCTCACTCTAAGTTTCTGCTTTGCTGTGCAGTGTTAAGAAATTCAATCTTGAAAATGCACTGCAGGGCTTTGGTGCATACCGGTTTCCCGTTGATATCGTGCTTTCAGATCGAATAATTATAATTGGTACTTTTCGGGATGAGCCTGCATTCTCGTATGAAATCGTTCTCTGGGCTCAATCGCATTTACATTGCATACATGTGGGAAATTGTGGCTAAAATGTGGAAAATGTTGATGAGCTCGAAATCAGTAATGCATCATTTATTGCAGGACTCAGTGTTACATAAAACGATATTCAAATCTTAGAGCGAAAATGAGTGACTGTGTTATGAATGACGCATAGATGTCATGAAATAGACTAGCGACCTTCTAATGTGCAGAACTTTTGAAAAATGTTTGCATAAATATATGAAGCAGTTCGGTTCAAACCCTACATTCAACATTTTCTTCAACAAAAAATCTGTAAAGAATGACGAAAGTGTTGCCGCCCTGCTAATTTTATTATCATCTAGAGAACATCTCACAAACAAAAATAAAAAGTTTTCATCTCCTATGTAACGATTGAACACACCCCTATGCACTCTGTGCACGTAAAACTGCAACGGGGTGATTGTGTTCTGGCGCGCGGTAGCGTTTTGGTCATGAATACTAATGGTCCAACCTGCATCGCCATTAGAAAACGTAGCACAAACATCATAGGGTCAATATGACGGCTGTTTTCATCGAGGCTCATGCAAGTCCGCTGGTGCTTCCGATGCTCAGCGTTGTCAACACTGCGCGGAACATTTCCGTCTTACCGATATTCGTACCGGTACGAATACCGGTACGAATACCGGTACGAATGCCGGTACGAATACCGGTACGAATGCGTACTCCCTCGGGACCAGTGGGAGAGTCGTGCGCCTGCGTTCATCGGAATCAAATCCCATGAACAGCTGTCTATTATCGCGCAAGTGGCCACACTCACGCCAAACACGCTCCTCTTCCTCGCGAGCCGCTTCTCCTAACCGCCGATATTACGTAACATATATATTGACCGTTCGCAATACGTGATCAATTGTCGGCATAACTTCTGCGTGACAGTCTCTGTTCATCGCGTTTCTCATTCGTAACTCAACCGCTTCGTCAGAGTCATAC